AGAAGCAAGAAATGATCTGGTGCACAGGTACAGAGCTGCAAATGTGCAGCAGCTCAGAAATGTTCTTCAGTCAAACAGTGAGCAGCTCTGTCACCATCACAGAGCAGCATGTGCTCAAAGTAACATTCAGGCTGCTGAAATCTGATCAAACTGTCCTTGTGATCAGCCTCCTCTGTCCCCCAACTCTTTTCTTCTTAAATCCTATTCTTCTAGTCCCTCAAGCTCCATCTGGGATTTAAAAAAAATTGTTTAAAAAAGCCATCTGAAGACAAAGGATAGAAAATGCTCTGGACAGGTAATGTGTTCCTATTCCATAACTATTTTGCATGGAAGCAGCTGTTTACAAGTTTCTATGTGTAAGAATATTTTGTTCTGAGAAGAGAGGTGGTGCAATTTCCAATGGCAGCTCCAGTCCTTGCAGTGGCCTGGACTCTTCCCCCCAGCAGAGTGATTTGCTCCCATCCCTGCACACTGTGCTGAGTGTTGAACCAACCTGTCCCCATATTCTCACATGGCAGCAGTACCTACCCCAGCTCCAGTCAACACCATGATCTTCTTGCATTCCTGCAGAAGTTTCACAGCATCATCAATGGTGTTAATGTCTTTCCTCTTCTTCCTTTTGGGTGGCTCTGAAAGGATGTTGATCACGATTTGCCACAGAGTCATGTCGTCCAGTTCAGGTGGGGGGATCGTTTCTGGCAGCAGGTCCTTCAGAATCGACCGTGGGTCTGTACCTAACATCAGGTGCTGCTGCACAAAAGTGTAGGGACCTAAGAAAATTTAAAATATACAGATGTTAAAAACAGAGTCAAGTACTGCAGGTGATCACACTCATTGTTCCCTCTATTAATGCTTGCTAGTACAATGCCATGAATCCAATTTGATGCTCCCTTCATCAAACCCCCCTGTATTTTGGTCTAAAATCTGAAGTGAGAGCTGGGCATTTTATTTATTTATCTTTATATTTCATAGAAAGTCAGTCAAGTAGAAATCCCAGTTCACAGCAAACTTAACCTCTTTTAGAAGTGCAACAGGATTTTCACAATGTGTCTCCATCTGTTTTTTCCCAACATTTGGTATTTACAGGAATAAGCTGAAATATACTTTCCAGTGGTATTATAAACCACAGCTCTAAACAGACACACAGAGCCCAGCAATCCATGGATTTTTGTTGAGTTTTTGGTCATCTAACATGAATTATTTCAGACATGACCTCTTCAAGCCATTAAATCAGTCTTTGCAGAAACACTCGAGATGAAGGCTCACTATCCTAAAATCAAACAGGGATCATCTTCCTGTTCTTTAAAGAATTAATACTAAGTAGGCAGGCTATAGAAATATGCCATAAATTAGTTTAATTCAGCGAGTCTGTGTTTATGCTTTTAATAGGGATCGTGGCAGGATTTCTATTCAAGAAAAAAAGAAGACAATAGACCATTTTAATCACAATACAGCAAGTTTCAAGGGGTTCATTTTTAAACTCCTTAAGTAACACAGGGTACAGCAAACACCTCTAAGCTGTTCAGAAGCACTAATTGCCAATATTTTTGCAACAGGAAAAATAATTTGAATACTGGGGAGGATAAAGTGACTGTTCAAAGGCAAAGCAGCAGCTAAGAACATGCTCCAGGCTTCTACCTATACGTGGTCTTGGGGTCCAGTCACTGGAACTTGCATGTGAGGCTCTGTCTTCTTCATCACTGTCACAGGAGTGAAAGCCATTGGCTATGATTTCATCACTGAGGAGGAAGTTATCTGCAAGAGAGCACGACCAGGGGGTTACACTCCAGCCCAAGGGCACAGGATATCTTCAAATAGATCACAAAAACGAAAATCAGCAGTTTTGTCACTTAGGTACAGAAAATGTCTATTTTTCTTCACATTTATTGATATGCTTTCAAGCTGTCGGCAGATTTACTGCAGGGTTTGCTACCTTAATGCTGGGCTTCAGGGGGCTGGATGCTGACCTTGGTGGAATCTCATTCCCTGAAGTGTTGGGCATGATGGACATTTCACCATAGGAAAAAATCCAAATGTTTTAAAAGTATAATTTAAAATGTCTTTCCCTTACAATTCTCACAGCATTCAGCTCATTAAAAATCTGGGTAAGATGAAAACATGTCACCATAGCAGACAGATCTTTGACCAGGTTTTAAGAGCATTTTGTGAGGGTGTTACCTTGCAGCTGAGCTGTACTGCTGAGCACATACACAACTCAGGATATTTCAGTGACACAGAACGTGCTCCCTCGAACCACCCTCACTAAATTTCTCCTGTCCATCTGCCCCTGCAGCTGGGTTTGGCTCAGAGTGACAGAGTCACCCTGGCTCAGCCCGTGGCCTTAAGCCAGAGTAACTCAATTTAACTTCATCTCAACCCTTGATGAAGCAGGGCAGAACCAGGCGCTTGTGTCACTGAGCTCACACTCAAGGAGAAATCAAAATTCCAACCTGAGCACCTTATTAGAGCTTACACTATTCAATCTTTTTTATCTGCTTTATTAGAAATAGCCTCAGCACCTGTAGCTTCATTTGTTGACAATCTAAGGTGTGAACAAAGAACAAATTTCAGTTGTGCTCTCTAAAGCACTACAGCAGTTCTCAGTCTCTGTCTGAAGAACCCCCTACACTATTTTAGCTGTTATTCCACTTGATTCTCAAATAGGGAACACCAAACAGCATCAACTTTTATTCAGAGGTTGTGCTGTCCTTTCCCTTGTTGCCATAGTTTATTTTTGATTAGAACAGAAAGAGGTCACTGGACAGAAATTTCTGTTGGTTCTTGCTGTCTTGTTTTTCTGAGGCCACAGGTGCTCATGGACATTACTATTTCCTATTAATCTACAGCATTTCAGTTCTATCTCGTTATGTATGAAGTCAATGAACATACTGAGAATTTTGGAGAAGGAAAAAGTGCATTAGAACACACATCAGTAACTGTGAGATGCCAGTTTGACTTTATGGCTTCTGTACCAAGACCCAAAAGCTTTCATTGTGAAAGACTCCTCACACACAGGTCACAGCACACGGGACTTAAGAAACACTGACAGATACAAGCAGGAAAAAGTAACAATTTAAACTGTAACACTCCCTGTGTATTCCTCGCAGGACCAGAGGGGGTAATACTGCCCAGAACCGAGCCAGGCACAGCAAAACACGCCCGAGGCTCGGAGAGACCTGAGCAAAACGCCTCGTCTAAGGCACTGCTAAGAGATCATTAACTTTGTTCTGAGCTGTTCCAATGGAGTTTTTAAATACTAAGGCTGTTCCAGGTTTATCCTGTATCTCCATTCCTTTTGAATTTCTTTTGAACAGACAGAAATTTTCTGTAGCATTTTACTACAAAGATGAAATATGTTTAACTGCATTCCAGGGTAAAATGTAAAGACTCTACTGGCAGAATGCAGCGTCTGACACATTTCAATAAATCTTTCCAAAGCACTGCTTTAAATAAAAAAAGCCAAAATTAACAACTCCAACAAGAAACAACTCAAACCTGATCTGTCTTTACTGTGAGGTACTTTCACAGTGACGCTGCCCACCAGTACACTTCAACTATGATCTGAAAGAAACTTTTTAGAAAGATTAGAGCTTAGTTTTGCGCTGCAGTCGCTGAAACCTCAGCCAAGACTGTCACTTGCAGTTCTTTAAAGGACCGGTCAAGACTGCTGCTCCTGAGCTTATGTGCAAGTTTCTAAGGACCAGAAATAAAACAATTAACACGGCAGAGATTATGAAAAGGAAACCGAGCTTATGATTTTTCATTTTTAATAACTTGTTGCCAGCAGGACAGCAGAAGGGATGTTTTGGGGGCTGAGAGCCGAGCCGCTGTCCGTGTGCGGCACCGGGCGCAGGAGGCCCGGGCACGGCGGGCTCGGAGCTGCCCCGGGTGGCGGAGCCGCGGCCGCAGCGCCCGGCCCGGTGACACCGCGCCCCGTGCGGGGAGGAGGGACCCGCGGAGGAGGGGAGGGAAGGGAGGAGGGAGGGGTCGGTCCTCACCGGGATGCGGGGCCGGCGCCGCGGCCGCCCCGTTCGAACACTGCGCCCGCCCGCAGCCCGGGGCCGCCTCCGCCGCGTCTTCGCCGGGCGCCGCCTCCGCGCCCTCCCCCTGGTCCCGCCGCGGAGGCGGCTCCGCCCGGGGCAGGCCCCGCAGCGCGGCCCCGCTGTCCGCGCCGCTCCGCGCCGCCGCCGCCCGGCCGCCGTCCTCCCGCTCCGCCCGGCCGCCATCGGCCGCCGCGGCCGCCGCCTCCCCCGGCGGCTCGGCGGGCAGGGCGGCGGGCGCGGGCGCCGGCCCCGCGGCGCGGTCGGGGCGCGGAGCGGGCGCGGCGCTCCCCGATCCGCGGCGGTGGCGCTTGGCCGCGGGCTCGGCGCCGTCGCTGCCGGGGCCGGCGGGGCCGCGCGGGCGGAGCGGCGCAGCGTCCCCGTCCGCCATCTTGGCGCCGCCGCAGCCGCCGCCCCCCTCGCGCCCGGCCCCCCCCGCCCGCCGCGGGCAGCGCCGCCGCACGTGACCGCCGCACGTGACCGGGCAACAACAAACCGGGGCACGTGACCGGGGGGCGCCGCCGGCGTCACGTGGCGCTCGTGCCGCCTCACACCCCCTCCCTCAGGCGGGCCCGCAATGGCGGCGCGAGGAGCCTGAGGGAGCGCTGAGGGGCGCGACCTGCCCGGCTCGGCCCCCGTGCCCTCCCCTCCCGTCCGTGCCGTGTGCCGCTCACAGCCCGGCCGCGGTTCCTCCGCGGTCCCCGGTCGACGGCTCCCGGCAAATGGCGGCTCCGCTGTTCGCTCCTCGCCAGCCGCGTGAAAAACCCTCAGGGCTCGCTCTCCGTCAGGGTATCGAACAGACGGTGCCCCTTCCCGGGAGCGAGCTCCCCGCTGCGGAGCCTCATGCTGGGCTGTGCGGCACCGGGCCAGGGGGAACCCGCCCTGCAGGGCTGCCCCTGAGCCCGTTCCCAGCCGCGCAGCGGGGCCGGGGGCTCGGAGCGGCCTCCGTGAGCGCACTGAGCTGAGGGCGAGGGCGCTCACAGGGCACGGCCGCTGCCTGCCTGCCTGCTAAGGGAGCGCACGGCTGTAGGGTATTGCCCCTCATCCTGCGGGATAACACGTTAGCCCCACCTGGGATTCTGCATCGCGGTACTCGAGCTCCCGGGATGCAGGGAGCTCTTTTGGGCGGTCAGCACCTGTCTAAACCACTGCTGCTTGGGGAATGGAGCCTGCGCGGTGTAGGAGGGACCTGATGGTAAGCGGCGAGAGCTGGGATTTGATCGAATAACGGCCCCAAATTCCCGGTGTTTCCCGTGCTCTGCAGGGGTGTGAGCCGCTGGTCTCCCTGGTTTCCCAGGGATCTCTTGTCCCGTGGGGTGTAGGAGCAATCCCTGGTGCCCCGCCGGGACCGTCCCTGCTCAGCCAACAGGACGTGCCACGCGTGGACTTTCCGTGGCGTAGTTTCTTTTCCCCTGGGAGTTCAGACTGGATAGAACTCGGCCTTTTCCCCGGGACTGCCACCAACACAGAATTTTGGTGTAAGCTTCGTGGATAGAAATTTAAATATTGGTTTGTTGTTACTGTTCGACATCACAAGCTGGTTGCAGAATAGTATTAGTGGATTTAATACAATGGAATTCCTAAATTTAGTGGCAAGACCCAGGTTAGGCAGGTGGAATTTCCCTCTTGCAGGTCTTGATAACCAACAGCTTTTAAAAAAACTCGGGGTTAAAATTTTTGATACATACGACTTTAAAAGGAGTTACTTTATGGATAATTAACTTTATAGGAGGTCTTTGTAGGGGGAGGGAAGTTTTTGTTTCCCCTGTATTTTTTTAAGGTGTTAACAACCCTGAAAAATATTGCACATAATGTTTTTCACACTACCTGCTTCTCCAAACAAGCTGCAGAGTTAGCAGATCAGCAAGTTTTTATTATTCTAAGGAACTTTGTACACAAGCATCCTTTTTCCTTCTTGCCTCTGGAAGCTGAGGCAAGACTGGTATTTCTTAAAAAGCACGAGCAAGGTGCTTTTGTCAGTATATAAAAGGAAGGCAGGGCTTTAAGATTGGTTTGGTGGTCATTTATGGGAAGAGAGTTCTAAGGAAGAAATAATCCAGGTGGTGCAGATGTAGGATCTGAGGCTTTCTGTGAAGGTATCGGTGAGGGAGTGGCTCGGGGATCCTAAAGCCTCCTCTGATCCTGCAGACATTGCGTTAGCAGCAGAGTTACCCGTACTGTGGGAAGTCAGTTTGGCAGTGCTTGGGTCTGCTTCTGCAGCTCTGAGCTTGTGTGTGAGGACAAGGATGGAACTCAAATATTGTGCCTTGCACTTCTCGTAAATGTGTTCTCTGCCCTCTGAAAGTAAAACCCATGAAGTCAGTTGAGAACTGGTCCTGGAAGATTTGATGCACTTTACAGGAATAAATTCAAATAGAGTTTTCCAGACTTTACTGTTTTATTCAAAGGGATATTTATGACTTTTGCAAGTTGTTGGTAAATGTCCCGTTACACTGAAGCAGAATTTAGATTTGCTCTAGGCTCTAAACAAACAGAATTGTCAATTTGTGTCAGAACTGAGAGACAGCTTCTGTTGGTGGCTGGGTACAGAGAACAAATATGAGATTTCCTCACTTCCAGAACAGTTTGTACATCCTGATCAACACCAACCACATGTGAAGGCAATAGTCTGTGCCATCTCCTGTGCTGCAATTCCCTTTTAAATGAACTTTATGTCCTGGGACTAATGTTTGTGTGATGCATATGGCCTTTGTGATCTCTTGGGGCGGGGGCACGGTGTGGGCACTGCCCTGAGGCTCCAGGGAGCTCGTTTCCTGGGAACACACAGCTGCCAGGTCCCAGCTTTGGCACTGGAGTGCAGCCCCAGGACCTGGCAGCACGGAAATAGCCACTGGAAGCCACAGAGGAAAAGGGTTAAAGAACTTCCCTTTCACCTTAGGCAAATACACAAGGAATACTTGGAAATACTTGGAAACAGGAATGCTGTTGGGAGGAGGGAAGCTGTTTGTTTTTTTGTCCTCCCACAGAGTACAACCTATTTAAATATTTACGTGTTCTGTTATTAAAAGACTTGACTTTCTTTCCTGTATTTTCTGGTTATTAAGTTATGAATGGTGGAGATGGAGAGATTTGTAATGGCTAATTCTTCCACTTGTAGTGACACTGAAAAAAAAGTTCTACTGTTTTATTTCCTCAGAGAAATATGTTGGTAGAGTTTTCTATCAGATTTAAATGGTTTCACCAAGGATTGCACTTCTTTCTTTTAATATTATTGCTTTTGGTTACTTAGTATATTTTATAATCTTAGTGGGCTATCTGAACATGCAGTAAAAGCAGATTTCAGACAATGCAACCTTGAAGAGAAAATGGCAGAAGCTTCATATTAAATGTCATTGCAGAACATTATTAACGCAGATATTAAAGCACTTGTGGATGCGAATTATATATTATATTATATATATTATATTATTATATTATATTATATATAACAGATTATATATCTGTTATTCCTAAATAGCTCTGAATGCCACTGGGTCCTTTGTTGATTCACACATGGCCTTTTCCAGCCTTGGTCACATCCTAGGGATCTGTTCTCCTCCAAGGTCACAGCATCTAGAACTGTGTAACTACTCACAGCATCTATTTGTAAGTGTCAAGGAAACATCAGGGTTTAATGACATGGAACATCTCAGGTTGCAGAGCTCTTGCAGGGTTGGGAAATGTAAAACCAGAACTCCTAAGGCTCCAGGGGAAAACTTCAGCAGGTGATTATGCTTAGGAAGTAATCTTTTGAAATCAACATATCATGGGTGACACCAAAGGTGTCCAGATTCTCTGTTGGGCTGAGGCCTTGGTCATAAATCGTAGTTTAAAATTAAGGTATTTCACCTCAATGTAAAATGAGCTTCACAAGGAACGTGTTTTGTGCACAGTGCAGACCTTCAATACCCAGTCTGAAAGTAATTTAGCATGAGAAAGAGTATTTCATTTGCTAGTAGACACTGAGTATTTCATGTCCTCGGGTAGTTTCAATTTGTCAGGTGTGACTGATGTACTGCTGCTGTTTGGTTTGGAGGTCTGGTCACCCAAGGGAGCCTGCAGGGAGTGAAGGTTGCCCCCTTTTTGTTGAGGTGACTGGCAAGCCTCCGACAGGCTTTTGCAAGGTTGGTGCTTCGTTCCCCAAAGTTTGCACCTCGTCATTGTTTTTTCAGAAGTAATCCTCTTTTCTATAATTCCCCATCTAACCATCTGGTCAAAGATGGTGGCAAAAGTCGCAAATAAACTCGATCGGAAAATGGCTCAGGTGCAGGGCAGGCAGCCTCTGGGTGTGGGCCTGGTTTGCGGTGGCTGCGCAGGTGACGGCGAGAGAGAAATCTCTGCCACGTTTCAGCGTCCAGAGCTGCGGTGCGGACGGGAGCCACAGCGGGAGTGCCCGTGGCAACTACAAATCCCAGGGAGCAGTGCCGGGAGCGGCTGGGCGCGGCCAGCGGGGCCAATGGCAGCGGGCAGCTCCGTGCGTGTGGGCTCGCAGCGTTCAAAAGCGGCGGCCGGAGCTCGGCCCGCGCCCGGAGCTGCCTGCTGCCCTGGGCTGCCTCCGGCTCCCGTGGGAGCGCTCCCTCGCCGCTCTGTTCCACAGCCTCCCCGCCGCCTGGAAAGAGCTCTCTGCGCCGGTGCCCATGGATGCCATCCTGAACTGCAACCCGGAGGAGCTGGAGGATTACTACAACTTGCTGGGATGCGATGAGCTATCGACGGTAAGAGCCTCTCTCTCCCTCCGCGCCAGCTTATTCGCAGTTTGAACGTGCTCGTGAATCTGCAGGAAGCTGCGGGCAGGAATGTTAGAAATGCCGCGTGCACCTTCTTTCTTGCCACTTGTGGGATCTCCCTTGGAAAGCTCAGTTTTCCCTCCTGCGTTTTCTCTGACGTTAAGAGCCAGGAGTAAGGCTTAGGTTGAAAATGCCCTGTAGAACAGGACCGGATTATGGAGAGAGCCAACTGCATGTGTTTGACAGCATCCAGATAATAGCTTGGAATATATATGATTGGTTTTGAAAACTGAAAAGGAGCTATTTATGTACAAGTAATACAATGAAAGTTCATAGCTTTAGGGCATTGATAATGCTGCTGAGTTTCTCGGGCTTTATACATATAATAGGCTTTAAAATGTATTCACTGGTTCAGATGAAAACAAAAACATTATATCTTTTACCATACTAATGTTTTTTAAATGCTGTTTTTAATTACATTCAAACACTAGTTCTACTAATTTGTTTTGGTAGCAGATACATGCAGCAGATTTAGCTCAGCTATTTTTTGAGTGATTTGCAGCTACATGAAGTGTGCATCGTGTTAAAAGTGTCCATACAGCTTTTCTTTTGCTAGTCTAGTGTGCTATTTTTTTCTTTTAATTTAGCTGTTACATTAACTGGAATTGTGTTTCTGACTTGGAAAAGGACTTTTGATTACTCTGCTGTAATGAGGGATGGAGATAAAAGCCGTCTTTTGCTCAGTAAATGTAGCCAGATGCTCTCACCTGTCCTAGTGGTGAAGTATAAAGATCAGGACTAAACATCTTCGGTGTGTCCCAGAGGGAAATGGAAAGCTTTTCCTGAGGACACAGCTGGAAGTGATCCCAGCAGAGGGCAGTGCTCAAGTCCCCACGCAGCCTTGTTTCGCAGATGCTCTTTCTCGTTTCCTACCTCGCACTAATTCCTTAAGGGCTTAGCAATTAATGAACAGTTCAAGTACATGTGAGAATGATTTTTCCAAATCGCTTGAAAATGAAATTAAAGAGCTGGAATAAATGCTAGTGGGTCCTGAAAAACAAGCTGTCAAGTACTATTTGTTGGGAGAAGCAGTAGATGTTGCTGCACTGTTTTTGACACAAGAGAAAGAACTCAGAGATCCCAGGCTGACCTCAGGACCCTGCACAGCTCTTCTGGGGTCTCACAGAAATGTGGAGCACTACCGGGGTTTTGAAGACTCACTAGTTTGTACAGGAGTCAAACATTTGGCACAGGCTGTTGTGGGCACACACAGCACACTCCCAGCTGCAGCACTTTCATCTAGGTGCTGAATATCCTGCTCTTGGTTGGACCTGGTTAAACTTAGGCAGGAATGCTCTCAGTTTCTACAGATTTTTTGTTGTATTCAAGTAAACACAAACCAAGTTCATTCTTGGCTTCTGGTAGAGTTGAGCTCACAGACACCTACTTCATCTTCAGATGTGACAGGAAGAGGGGAGGTTTAATCTCATTCTTCCTCAAGAGCAATGCCATTTGTGTATAGTGGGTATTGGATATCTTTCTTGCCAAAACACCTCACTGTATATTTTATATTAATTTCATGTATGTTATATAAACTTTTCTTTCTACTGTTTTTTATTTTAAGCTGTGGACTTCCGTGCTACCCTTCTGCTACATTTTAACCCTCTGTACCAATTTGAACTTTAAAGTTCCCCCTGAAGTAACTAAGTTTTTGAGATGGTAGCTGGCTATACAGTAACCAGGCTCACCAAGTTCTCTATACAGATGCTTTAAAGTGTCTCACTGACTGCAGATACACCACATTACATCTGTCCCTCTGGAAGGAGCTACTGAGCAGATGAAAAGTGCAGATTTCTTAAGATACTACCGTAGGCCACATTTTTTTTCCCAGAATTTGATGCCAACAAAATTTGTCCAGCTGGTTGAATGAACTGTAATTTTATTCTAAATAAAAAATATTACAATACTTAATTTGGAAGTAAATAATTTAAATTGTATGTGGCTGTCATGGTTTGACTAATGAGGAATTTGTATAAACAGCCTTTGTAGTATGGGAAAGAATGGTAATTATTTGGTGCCTTAGGGCAAATTGTGAAAGCTTGAGCTGAACTGGAATGATATAAAGAGGTTTTGGCTTTTGAATTGTAAGAACCAGCAAGATACTTGGAAAAACACTAAGCATTTGAAAATCTAAGCTGCTGCCCACTCCAGTGGCTTCCTGTATTTTAACTGTTACCATGTTTTAGTTTTTTCAATTAATACTTTATGGTATAACAAACTATGGGAATTTGCAATTAACTGATAAAGTAATCCATGCCAATGTTCTAATGTTGATTATAAATCTATTCTACTCCAAGCCAAACTTCTTGCATGGAAAATTAACTTGAAGGAAGAGTGTGAACTACTGGTTATTGAGCAAGTTGTCTTGGGGTGTCCGAGATGGAAACCTCTTGGGGTGCTGGCTGAATTTCCTATGAAGAGGATATGAAGGAGGCCACCTAAACCCACAAATTTACCTTCAGCAATACAGAGAGCCTTTGCTTCTTGCTATGAGACTTTGTTGAAAGTTAGAGTTGATTAAACAAAGTAAAGAGCAGCTGGAGTGATGCATTTTGCCTCCGTGGTCAGATGTCTTTGCACATCCATATTGGATGACTGAGCCTCACAAAAACAAGACTGAGGATGAGCGCATGGAAATGAGATTAAATAAGCAGTGTCACTGGTGGCAGATGGTTGTTGTTACCTACTTTGCTTGTAAAATTGAACAGGACAGAATCTTTCAGCATTCTTTGTTGTTCCTCCCAGCCTCTTTTCAAAAGAGAAGTTGCAAATCTTTTCTGTGCTTACTCACTTTGTCTCAATATTTTGTTTAGGTTGAACAGATTCTTGCCGAATATAAGATTAAAGCCCTTGAATGTCATCCTGACAAGCATCCTGGAAACCCCAAAGCAGGTATGTATTCTTTCCTGTGTAAAAACAATCTGTTTTTTTCTTCTATTAGCATGGCCAAGATAATAAATTCAGCCTTAAAACTTTATTTCCCCTCAATGTATTTCAGTCATTGTGCACAATGAGCGTGTTCTATTTAAATAGCAAGCTTGTGATATTCTTTCTAAGACTTGCACACCCCTCTGTGACAGAGCAGGAAGACACTTGTTGGATTTTTTTGATTTCTAGAACCTTGCATTATTTTTTTCTTTCTACAGTAGATCATCTTTTAACACAGAATTTATTTCTGGAGCATGTCCCTTCCTAGGCCTGTGGAGTTGGTGCAGTTCCACGCTCAGGGGCTTTCCAGTGCCACACTTGCGTCAATCAGTTAATTTGCTGCCGGGAACAAGCCCATGAGGAACACATAAAATGTGGTTTATTTTCTTTTAATGGAATTTAATGACTGGAAGTGAAGAGAAGGCAGCCCCACGAGGAGCCTCTGTTTGCAGAGCAGCAGCTGATGTTTGTGTTGATGAGGGGGGCAGCTCCTCAGAGCTGGGAGGGCTGAGCAGCACCTGAGTGATTTGGAGCCAGTCATAACCACAGAGAGCCCCAGGCAGAGCTCACCAAGGCTGAGCTACAAAAAAGAGCAGCCAAGTGCCAAATATCAGAGCAGCTTTGCTTGTCACAAAGAAATCTTACGTTCTGTCTTTACCTGGACATGCCTTATTTACTTTAAATACCTTTCTACAGTACTAGTGAGAATTTACTTTGTGTTTTTTATTTCATCGGCTTAAAGCTTAATAAAGAGTAATTAGACTTTTTATTTGTTGAAAACTAGTAACACTAGAATAAGAAAACCTAATCCAATTGTTCCCTCAGTCTCGTGTTTGATTTGCAGTTATCAGTTTTGATTAGTGTTTGGGTGTAGTGTATTTCAAAAGAACTCTCTAATTTGTAAACTGGAATAAATGAATGATTGTAATAATAATAGAGAACTGTAACATAGGTGAGTCATAGATAAAGTGTAAATCTTTATAACCCTCCCACAAATAGAAACATGCAGCTGCATCCTTAGTAACCATTCCACGAAGAATTACCCTGTAGGGAAAAGCGAGAGCTCTCTTTCAATGTCTGGATAACATTTTAGCGCACGTAGAAAACACGCCTCATAACATGCACAAGTTAATTAATATGAACTATATTTAGGTTATTCTTCTTGTTTGTCAGTTCCTGCTTATCATTTTTTCTCCCTGCTCATGGTTGTTTTTGCTGTGCTCTGCCTCTACTGCTGTAGATCTCAGTGTATTCTTTCTAAGCAGTGCTAATTTACGCTTGTAAGGTGGTCGGCAGGGGCTGCCTTGTGCCTTTCTCCTGTGTACTCTCTAAGTTTCTCTCAACCTAAATTTAGGGGCTTTTGAAGCTGGTAGACAAAGGAACATTTCAGTCCTGATTTTCAAGTCCACCAAAGGTGCCGTGATCCTAAAGCCACGCAGAACTGTGCAAGCTGGGACCAGAACCACATCCCCTGGCCACTTACTTCTTCTTCTGCCTTCTCCTCTACTTTGCTCTGAGCCACTGCTGCCAGGTCCCCTTTTGCATCATTTCCTTGCCAAACAAACATTGTCTTTGGTGTCCTTTTGGTCTGTGTCCTAGTGGAGAATTTCCAGAAACTGCAGCAAGCCAAGGAGACTCTGACTAACGAAGAGAGCCGGGCACGTTACGATTTCTGGCGCCGGAGCAAAGTCTCCATCCAGTTCCAGCAGTGGGAGGCCCTGAGCAGCTCCGTGAAAACGGTCCGTGCTGGTGGTGACTCCGGGCCCTCAGGAGCGGGGGGAGGGAGGGCTGGCCCCAAACAAAGATTGCAGAGAGTGAGGGGATGAGTTACAGTTCTGAGTTCTGCTGCAGTGCCGGGGTCTGGGGATGGGAGTCGTGCAGAGACATTCCTGCACTATGGATGTTAAGGAAATTCAGGAAAAATTGCAGGGCTTCAGAAGCCCATTCACAGAAGAGCTTTAGGCCAGTACTTTTAGAGTGAATTTATCAAATTGCTGCTTTTATGTGTGTTATAGAAAGTTAAAGTAACTTAAGGGCTGTTTTCAAATGCTTTGGTACACTTCGCTTTTGTAGGAAACTTTTATTTCTTTTCAAAGTTATGTTAAAGCTAGGACCTTTTTGTAATATATTCTCCTTTTGGTATATTGCTTATCAGATGATGCTGTCTGATTAAATAAAGATCCCATTGACAAAATCCAGAAGATAGTTCCTTGAAACCCTGAGCTTCCCACAGAGCTTTGGAGGGGCCCTGCTGGGCTACTGTGGTACCTAGGACAGAGGCAGGAATTTTTTATATATAAAATTCCTCCTGATTTTGCTATTGAGAAGATTTGGTAGCATGTCCCTAGTAGTGCTCAATTCCATAATATTGGATTATTTTTTTCCTGCCTTATTAGAGTGAATGATAGTTACAGGGCTACATGGTCATATTTTTAGGCAGGTGAATAGAAGTTTCCTATGTCAATTCTGCCCATCTCAATTCTGTTTAGGAGAGAGGTTTGAGACACTTCAACTGCAGCATTATGCCTGATCTTAAATGTTTGCTGGAAATATCCAGTTAAGCTTAGTTCAGTTCCAAACAGATGTTATTCCACAGACTTCAATATTAAGTCTTTTCAAATTGCCTTGCCTTCAAAGGGTACTTTGAAGTCAAGGACAGCTTTGAAAATGAGCATTTCTGAAGCCACTCAAGCCCTTTTAAAAAATGTCTGAATTCATGACAGAAGAAACTGGACAAAAAGCCCTTAAAATTCTGATGCACATTTTGTTCTTCACTCCACCTGACACGAAGTGTCCTCTCCGATGCTGTTGGTGGCAGCTGTTGCTTTCCCCCCTCCTGTTGACCTGCAGGCTTCTCAGTGGGCTTTGTTTAATCATTTATTGCAGTGATTTAAGAAACAGAAAGTAATTGAAAGCCCATTAAAACACAGGGTTTCATTCTTTGTTATGTTTGCATTCCTTTAGTCAATGCACTGGGCTGTCCAAAGTAAGAAGGACCAAATGCTGGAAGCTCCCGACTTTGACAATACCAACAACATGACCAATGAGATGTGGACCCAACAGACAGGAGATGGATTGCTGGAAGGGAGCAGGGAGCAGGAAGATGTTGCAATTCCTGATGTGCAACCACAGTCTTCAAAGAACCCAGACTCCCCAAGTAAGTGAAAACAGCAGTTACAGAAAATTGCAGCATCCAGGGATTGGCCTGAAACGGGCCAATTCAGTCATGAGAAAGTCTCCTCCAGAACAGTGTGCTTAGCTTGTAGCTTTTTAAATGTGGTTTTGGGTTGGCATTTTGGTTTGGGTTTTATGCTTTTGATTACTTATTTAATTTTGAAGTTTTCAGACACTCCTTCCTCCCTGTCCCAAATTTCTTTGTTTGTTTGCTAGTAAAAGCAGCAACTGGATAAGAAGAAAAAAAAAAATGCTTCAACCAAAATGTAAAATTTTGTTTTTCTGATATATGAAAATGAAAAGTAAAAAGAGAAGGCAGTTATTTTCAGTGACTTTTTTAAAAATAAATTTTAAAACTGTTAAGTAAAATATTTTAGTCTTGGGTTTTTTATCCAGTTTTCAGTACTTTCACACAGTTTGTATCAGATGAGTTAATGAGGTCTAACATTTAAGACTTGAAGGCTTCTCTTGTATTCAAACAGTTTTGTTTTTTCTAAGTAGTGTATGCACCAGAATAAATGTGTGTTTCAAAAGTGTCCCCTACCAGTCAGCACTTCCTGGCTGTGGTTTAGGTCTGATCAAAACTTCCGTAGCACCATGGGCTGCCTGATCCTTCAGGAGTTCCATCATCCTAGGCCTGTGTTAGCACGGAGCTATTGTTCAACAAAGTCCTGGCATTTCTCCCCAGTTTGATCAAACAGGAAATTAGGGTGAACTGTGAGGTGAGCAAAACCTGATGTAATCCCAAACATTTGTGGAAGGCAGAAAATGGATAAGAAAATTCTACAAAGAAGTGTATTTCAGACCTAACTGAAAACTTGATTTTGAAAAATTATGCTCTATAACTTAATATTATTTACCTTTTTTTTTTTGTAATTAAATCATCCCTGTATCCTTTGTAGAACAGTGAAATTTTGAAGTAAAGAAGACATCATCTTGTTCCGTGTAATGGTGAATTTTCTTTGCAGGCACCTTCTTTCTCAATTATTTTAAATTTTATTTTCCAGATATTTGAATGGGAAAAACATCAAACTCATCAAGTGCATACTTTATTTATCCAGTGACATATATTTACATTGATAAGTTAATGTAAAGATATAAATAAATTAATAATTAGTTAACACTCTAATATATTTGACAGGATGCATATGCACTTCAGTGTTTATACCTGATGTTAGGATGTTGGTAATATTTTTGTTTTGGTCCAGCAAAAATTTATACATAGGGTTTTACTTTGAAACTGTGGTATTGTCTGTTCCTGTCTGCTGGCCTGGATGAATTCTGGACCACCTCCTACATGGTTATTTCACCTCAAATAAGAGATTCTGAGCACCAGCTCTGCTCATAGCATTCAGTTTGCTGGAAAAGGAAGATTTATCACATCACCATCTTCTTCCTCAGATGAAGCCAATGCAATTTGTTGAGTTTTCCTTTGTGAGTCCTCTTTAGGGACTGCCAGGGCCCTTGCTGTCCTCCTTCAGACCCTTCCCAGCTGATCTCTGTCCTGAAGGTCAGGGTTTGAGCTCTTGTTCCAACCCAGTGCTCGGATTTGTCAGTGCTAGTCAAGAGCACTGAACTGACCACTTTTCTCCTTACCTTTTGTTTTTTGGGAAGACTGTCAAGTATCATTTCAGAAAATATAATTTTATGCATGTTTATAATAATTTAGTTGTCTTTCTCTCTTTTTTTTTTCCCCCCCTCAGGATTTTCAGAGGGGAATTACTGGCACTTGCGTTTCCGCTGGTCCGGCGATGCTCCATCAGACCTTCTGAGGAAATTCAGAAACTATGAGATCTGAAATGAGAAACACACAGGAGCATGACATCAGCTGTTCAACAGTTCAGTATTTTTTTTTTTGTCAGCAGTTATAAGTTATTTGTCTTTTGTATTCTTTGATTGTAGTGTGTTGTTCCAGCCAATGTCTAAATACTGGTTTATCACACATGCTGTGAGTATTACAGATCGAGGCTTTTCTGTTCAGTAAGCAAAGCCTTTTCCAGTGTTAACATTAAGTGATTTTGTGAAGTTATCAAACATCTTATATATTGTTTCTTGTATTCTCAAATATTATGTAGTGATGAATACTTCTCTCCATAGTGTGAAGTTATAAAAAACATACTCTCAGTAGAGCCCTGGGCTCCAGGGTATCCTACTCAGCAAGAATCTTCTGAAAGCTTTATGACAATGGACTGTAAACAGAACTGTGCTTATGTCTCAACTCTGCTCTGCTTCACATCTCCATTGCATTGTACTCACTGTAGTGATTTATAATGTACCCATTACAAACTTGTAGGAGAGTTGTGATCTGATGTTATAGATGAAATAAGAAGGTTCTTGTTACCCAAGGTCTCTCTGACAGATCAAGCACTCCTAAAAATCACTCGTCTTCTACCTTAACAAGAACACTTTTTGGACCAGCTATTTGTTTTGGAAGGCAGTTCCAGAACTTCTCCAGAGAGCAATTTTTGTCTTAAGATGTATTGGTGGAAAACTGACGCCCTGTGTATGTGTGCCAGCACTGTCCTGTGGCTTCACAGCACTTCCCCTCCTTGCTCAGGTGTGCTAGACATGGTTTTATCAGGGTTTTGTATGGCAAGGAATGAAGAATCAGAATAGTCAGCACTAATGTGTACAGAATCTCACATGAAAAGTTTTTGGTCCTTTGAGCACCTTTTCAAATTCTACAAATTCTATTGTTGTTTATTTATTTTGTGTTTGTTTTCTTCTTTGGAAACTTGGCTAATACGTCAGCTGTTGACATTGTGGTTTTGTGCAGGCAAATGATTCCATCAGCAGCAAATAAAACTTCATGCATACAGAAAAGGGGTTGCTTTCATCCTTTCAAGTAAATCCCCCACCACCACAGAGGTTCCTTTGGAATTCCTTGTTGTTTGTGTTATCAGTGGGTAAAAGCTTAAGGAGTGCAGTTAGGAATCGCGGGCAGTGCAATGGGAAGTGGCACCTGGCAAGTGCAGTGTTGTCCCCACGCGGAATCAATGTGAGGCCTGGCTCTCGCTGCAGGGCTGTGTGTGGCTGTGCTGCCTGAGGCACAGTTTGCCACAGACTGTCACCCAAGTGGGAGGCCTTTTCCTGCTCTTATAAATCTAGAGCCGGACGCGGTTAAGGGAGAGAAGGGGTTTTTACCTCGGTATTTCAATAAGGATCCTTGTTGGTGCAGCGCTTCACCAAGGTGGAACGTGCCTCAGTGCATGAGAGCGATGAGATTAATAATTCTGTGTAACAACTGTTAAACGTGACTGGTTTGCTTTTTATCTAGTGCATTTGCTGCTTTACTTCATACAAAGGTGTTTGCTCAAGAAAGACTTGTGGTCCATTTTCTATAGAGGGACTGGAAACAATGACAAGCAGTAGTAACAAGAAACTCTTACTGTATGCGAAGGATACCAAGTAATAGGGAACAATTTTCCCTCTAACAAAAAGGTGGGAATGCAGCCAGCTGGAGCACTTTGAATCAGACAGCAGCCCAGATTCTCCTCTGCCCATTTCACTTGCTGGTAAAGGTAAAAGGGATGGATGGATGGATGATCTAGCACCTAACGAGCTGCTTTCCCTTGAGAAGTGAACATACAATAGACCTTTGAACAGCAAACTAATAGTCTGTGTCATTAAACTGATGTCATTATTAGCCAATTATTGCGTGGTTGGTTTTGGCAAAGAACCTTTGGATGTTTGTTCTGGATGAATATTTGCAGATATTTGGAAGGCTCTTAGGCCAGTACAAGCTCATGGCAAAAGTTTTGTTTTGCAACAACCTGCTCAAGATCAGTCCTGTAATTTGTATTTGCCCTCACCAGGAGGGCAGGTTCTAACTGGTGCTCCAGTACATCACTGCCACCAATGTAGACTTCTTTTTTTTCCCTATTTCTGTAAATGTTAAACTTGAAATGGTCCAATTGTCTGTATTTCTTAAATTGAATGAATCTGTTCCTAACAGAGCAAACCCAGATGTACTGGAAAACAAGGGGGAGCCTGTGTAGCCTGTTTTTATTCCCCAAAACCACGAGGGACCTGACTTGTTGGCCAGTAACAACAGTTAATTGGAATGAGTGGGCAGCCCAGTTCTCTCTCACATATTAGAAAGTAAAGAAACATGCACCTGATAAATTAGTCAGTGTTAGATCACACCCCAAGCACAACCTGCTCATCTGTTTCTTTAAATAGACTGCACTTTTGTGGAAGTTTTTGCGTAGAAGTGTTTTGCTGGTAGGGTGGGAAGATGCAGCGAATGTCGCAGCTGACAGCAATACTGTGGTGCTTTGGCCCCTGCACCGGTGAGCACCAAACAATTCACCTGCTGGATCTTCAGCTGGGGCAGGGCTGGTGAGGTGGATTTCGGGCTCTGCCGAGGTGTGACTGAGGCAAACAGAGGAGTTTGTGGTTTTCAGGGGCCCACTGAGATTTTTAAACTCTCTTTGCAGAGTGGAAACAGCAGCAAAGGGTTGTCAGTATGGGTGGGGAACAACAGCAACAAACCCAGACACTGTTTATTAGATCTGGGCCTGGGAGTCTCAGGCTGGAGGAGGGCAGCTCTCTGCAAGGCATGGTGAGCTCCTGTTTTTGTCTTTTGTTCCCCTTCTGAGTGCTTAGGTGGGCACTAAAGGGTCCTGAATGTTTTGGGTACATGAGGGCTCTGATTTTTACTGTGCTGTAGCTCTGAGTGATTTGGTATGAACATAAATCAAGTGGTGAGGTGAGCCCAGGTCCTCTGGAGCCCAGGGAAAAGTGTTGCTAAAGCCTGGCCTTTACTGGACTTGTGAAGGCTGAGGAGTTTTCACCTGGAAGTTAGGAGACAGCAGGTGGGGTGCAGGTGGATGGTGATGATGGTGATAAAAGTTGCTCAGTGCTGTGTTTCTAGGTCTTTGAAGCTATTTCAAACAGAAAATAAGCAACCAATTATCCACTTACTTACACTGAAACTAAATAGCATGGGGGGATTCTGGAATTATATAAAATTATTATATCTCTATTTGCAGCCTTTTTACTTGTGCAAGTGCAGAATACAGATTGTCAAGAATAAAACCATTCTCAACCTTATTTGTTTTGCCAGTATTTGCCAAGTGTCAGTGTATGAGTTAGTTTGGATGATGAATACTGACAGTATATGACTTAAAATCTCAGGCTGAGTAATGCTGGATGATAGGTACGGTCGTTCCTTGATTGTTTTTTTTTCCTCTTTAAATGAGTTTTTTTAGAAAGGCAGTTTATATGTTCTATAATAGAAGCAAGTATCCTGATTATTAAAAGAGATACTGTGTATCTTTAATTTCCTGAGCACCAACATTGCTATCTCACCTTCCCAGCAGGCTCATCTCTCATTTCAGGATATGAAAGTGTAAGCAGCGTTGTAAAGCTGATGAAATTACACAGCAGAAGATAAAGCCACTGGGGGGGTTGTTGGGCAGATGATTATCGGTTGGTTTCTGCTGGGTATTTTTATTGCAGCCCGGTGCACACACTCCCCCTGCTGTTGGCACAAGGCTCCCTGTGCTGTCCCCTTGGCTGTGTTAACCTCGCCTCCCTCCCTCGCTCCGGCTCTGCCGGGCTCGTGTCTGAGTCACGGCAGTGCTGCACGGCACAACTGGGAGCTCTCACTTCGGGCTCTGATGGCTCTAACCTGTCACACCCGGTGGAGGCTGCAGAAAATGAATTTTCATTCCTCCATTCCATCTTCACAGGGGTTTGCTCTTTCTCTCTCCATCTGGCAGAGCAGTAAAGGAGAGGGTTCCTTCTAGAAAATAAAATTTGCTGCAGACCTTCAGAAAGTTTCCAGTCTTGATGTTATAGTTACATATTATATTGTTGGCTTTTCACAAATATTGAAATGAATGTTATGTGTGTAAGAATGGGAAACTTTGTTGTATTAATATAGTTTCCTTTATTTCTGTTAGAAATAGTGGTATAATACATATATGTTAAGCTATGACATAGCATTAAAACAAAAAACACTTTTGTTTGTGTAACCCAAAGACTGAAAAAGATAGCTGGAGACCCTTTTTTTCTTTTGTAAACTCTCTTATCCAGATGAAGACAGCAGTGACCAGAGCTCTGGGGG